CGGAGCGGGGTGAGGGGGCTGGCGTGGCCCCTGGGCAGCCCCCGTGTGGGGTCTGGGGCTGGATTTGCACCCGGGTGAGCGCAGGGACAGCACGGTGGGCGCCCGCCCGGCCCCACCAGAGGCCCTCCACTCTTTCAGAGTCACTTGTCGGCTTTGGCCATCCATCGTCTTCTGGGGGTGGTGGGGGGGGTGAAATCCGCTGCTCCAAAGATCTGAAGCGTTTCAAACCTTTACTGCCGAGGTCCAGGCAGTGCTCGCCACTGCCCCGGGGCGACGTGTATGGAGTCTGTGGGGACCTGGTACCAGGGGGAGCGCCCCCGGACACCCCAACGCGAGGGTGCCCCAGCCGCTGCTGGGGTCCCTCACGGCTGCTGCTGGTACTGGCCCTCGGTGGCGGTGAAGAAGTCCTCCAGCACGCTCTTCATGTACTCGAAGGTGGGACGTTCCTCGGGCCTCTCCTTCCAGCACTGCATCATCAGTTCGTACAGCTCCTGCGGGCAGTTGTCCGGCTGCGGCATGCGGTAACCGCGCTCCAGGTTCTGTATCACCTCGGGGTTGGTCATCCCTGCGAGGACAACGCGCGCGGCACTGAATTTGGGTCACCCCCACGTCGCAGGTAGCACCCTACGTTTGCAAAGCCCACGGGGAAGCTTCCTGCCCCCTCTGCTGCCTCTCAAACCCACACCCCCCCCTCCCCGGTGGCTTTTGGGCCGTGGCTGGCCACGTGCATCGGGAAGCGGTCGAAACCACCGCGGGCTGGCAGGGAAGGGAGCCAGATGGGGCGGCTCGGGGCGTGCGTGCGTGCGTGCGGGAGTGCATGCACGCACTCGTGGGTGTGCGCTTGCATGCGTGCGTGTGTGCGAGCCCTTCTGCCGCGCAGCTGCCGGGAAATCCTGACCTGGATACGGGATCCGGCCGTAGGTGACGATCTCCGTGAGCAGGATGCCGAAAGACCAGACATCGGACTTGATGGTGAACGTTCCGTAATTAATAGCCTCCGGCGCCGTCCACTTAATGGGGAATTTAGCTCCTGAAAAACAGCAGGAGGGGAGAAAATAAAACGTTACGGCTGAGCTGGAAACATCCCTCTCTGTCTAACCTGATGTGAGGACCCCGAGGCAGCCTCTGGCCCTGCTGTACGCCTGGGGACGAGCTGGGTTTGGTGACAGCCAGCACCCCCCCCCCCCCAGCAGCCCCACCTGCTTGGCTGGCTACAGAGCCCCCAGCACCGGCCAGCACGTCTGTTCCTGCAGTAGCCACCAGATAGGGCTGTCACCCCACCAAAACCAGGGTCGGGTGGGCATGTGGGATTCCGCAGCCCCCCTCCAGC